TTCAAAACATTACAAAGCTCTTGACATATCATATTTCATACATTTGATTCAAGTGGGTTATGAACTCCCATTTTTACCCCAAATACAGATTGCTGAATCACAGTTTCTCATATCCTAGAGAAATTTTCTTAATACAGAGGTGGTTAGACCAACAATTCACACACCTACAGTCTGCTTGGGCTTCTCCTATGTAACTTTCCTTAAAAAGCCATCAAAAGGAAACCAAGGATTCTGGACATGGAAACTGAGCTTGGATTTCCTGTTTTATCTGGTTGAAAATATACACCACTTTATGTGTGAAAACTAAATCAATTTTGGCATCCTTCCCAATAAAAGTTTACCTGAATTGCCCTATTTCAAATTTAAAATTTTAATTTCCTCCTCTTAAGAAAAATACCATTTCCCTCTGGTCTGATTCTTAGTCCCTTAAAAAATGTAATTATTTATAAACAAAAAAGACGTATGGAGATCAATACTGGTCTGAAAAAAGAAGTGATGAAGTATTCTAAAAAAGTAGAATTTATAAGAGAAGAATGGTAAGTCAAGATACCATATGTTTGCATCATTTTCTGTATGCAAAATAATATATTTCAGACTTTCTTGAAATCAAGTAAAGTCACTAATGCAGAAAACTAAAATATGAGTGGAAGTAAAACATAAAAACACAATTTTGGGAACTTCAGCTCTCTTCTGCTTTAGTGACTGAAGGGTCCACGGACTGAGGAGTAGGACACCCTAGGTAATGGAGGCCAATCGCCACTGCAAAAGTTCCCATGATGTCTCATAAGCGAAAAACAAACTTTAAAAGGCTAAAGAATTGAGATTCCAGCATTTTCCCCTCACAGTATAGCCTAGTTTATCCTGAATAATATAGGAGGTAAAAGAAAGGAGAAGTGGAGAAGTTAATGTTTTCCAAAGCTTTTATCTTGGATTGTGGTCAGAGATAATGTCATTTGCTTTCATTACTATAACAAAGAAAAACAATGTATTAAATTATGATTATTCAGAATGAAAAGATGAATACTACCATATTGAAAAGCATTGAATGTAATTAGCAAGGCAAAAAAGGGAAATAACACACTTACATTAAAGCCAGAAAAATAATAAAAAGGAAAAGAAAACAACAGCAAAGTAAAATAAATAGACAACATAAAATAAAATGCTAGTAATAAAAACAATTATATCATTTATTACACAAAATGTGAGCTGGCTGAATTTCCTGATTGGAGATGGGATAATTGTTAGAATGGGTAAAAGCAAAATCCACACATATGTTGTTTACAAAAAAAAA